GAAATTTCTACTGTACAGATCAATTTAACAACATTAAGATCCAAAATTCCAGGATTTTGTGGAAACAAAGCCACAGTGATTGTGCCAGCAGAACAACTGGGCAGGGGAAAAGCCCAAACTCACTCTGCAGAGTGCTGGGGTCGATGAGGTGGATGGTGCTGGTCACTCTGATGCACACACAGATCTGGCTCATGTTCCCCAGGCTCTGGGCCAGCTTGGGTGACAGACACACAACATTGTCCTGCAAAAAACACAATCAATTAACATTCCCATTTCCTCCATTTTTCACCAAATCTTCTGAAATAAAATTTGAAACTTTTGTGGTTTTATTTTTCTAGCCCCATAACTTCTGCATTTCCTGTGTGGATCCCTCCCTACCCCCCAAACCCTACAACCTGCAAACCCCAACTCTGCCCACAACACCCCAAAGGTGAAGCAGTGGAAGCTCACCTTGCATATGGGAACAATTTCCACAGAGAAAGTGCTTTTGTAGTTGTAGACATTACTGTGAATGTCGTGGGAGATCAGACGTTGGGATGATTTGGATCTGTAAAACACAAAAAATAAAGTTTCAGGAAACAAGAGACATCACCTGGAACAGGAGATCCTTGGAACAAAGTGTCTGCATCAAAAATACAAATATTAAGGAAAGAGAGGTTAATTTTACCATGGTTAAGTGGAAAATATGGGACTTTTGTAGAAGGGATTTTGTCTGTTTTAAGACAAAATTAAAATACAATTTTAGACAATTGTGTCTGTTTTAAGACAAAATTAAAATACAAACAAAAGACACTTAAAATACAGATTCCTTACACTTGCACTTAAAAATTCTTTTAAAAAGAAGGATTTAAGACAGTTCTCCAAAGCTCTGAGTGCTCAAGGCAATGCACAGGGGAGCTGTACCTGGATGGAACTGTGCACTGAAGGAAGTCCACCATCTTCTGGGCATGTTGCTTGGAAGAGTAATAGAAATCCAGGCCATCTGAAAAGCAAGGAAACCAATCTATTTCTATTCTATTTTATCAAATATAATTCATAAGTTTTTCTCTGCACAGCTCCCAGCACACACATGAAAACATCCATAACAAATCCAGGTTATTCTGCCTCCAGAGCCACTCACCGTGGATTTCTTTGATCCTCAGTGTGTTTTGATGGAGCCTGTGCTTCAAAATCAGCTGCTCCAAATAGTAAAAAGTCTTCTTGTGCACAGTCTAAAGCCAAACAAACACAAAAGCATCAAGGTCATTTAAGAAGTATTAAGTACAAAGCAGGACCTCTGAAGAATAAACATTTAGATGAAGAGATCACCTAGAGAAAGAACATCCAACTAAACAAAAAGATTTCAGAGTGCTCTACTTTACCAAATTATTGAAAGCTCCCATTTCTCATTTTTTGGTCGCTAGAGAGATCTGTTTCCTTTAAAAAGAATTAAATATTTGCCCCACTGTTCCCAAACTGCCTTAAAATACAGGAGAGTATTTAGTTATTCACACAAGATCCTCCTGCCAGCACCATTTTAAAGAATGTTAATACTGGGCAGCAGAAAGTTTTTCTAAACTGAATTAGAAAGAATTCAACAAGCTTGAACACAAACCATATCCCTGTGGCTAAGTGTGAGTACATTTTTGTCTGAGAAACCCAGAAAACCACCCAATTCTTGGCCTGACTGTTCTGCCATGATCAAATAAAAATTCAGTTTGCCTCTACCTTCTGCCTGACTTGCACCACAGCTTTCCAGAAATCCTTGGCTTCAATCCTGTGACAGTCTTCACACATCTGAGACTGAACAACGTACTCCACCACAAACACCTGCTGCAGAACTGCCCCATTTATCACCTGCAAAACAAAAGTGTTCAAGGTTTAGGCTCTGGCTGGGTCACAAATAACTGCAGGATTTTCCCGTCTTTACTGGAACAGACAAAAACTTTCTTCATTCTGATGAATGGCATTTTAGTGACAAAATAATAATTAAAAAATCCTGCTGTTTGCCCATGAAAGCTTTTTAAAAGCCACAGGGAGAAGGCTGTGCTCCAGTTACCTCTTTCTGAACAGTCAATTTGAGCTTGATCCTCTTGGAATGTGGTTCTGTCCAAATGAACCCTGCATCAATCAGCCGGACCTGCCCGTGGGGAAGCACAACAGCTCAGTAAAACCAAGAATAACTCCACAAACACAAACAGTCCATAGTAAAGAAGTGAATAATCTTAATTAAAAAAGTATATATTAATATCCCAAATCCAATTAATAGTGCTTAGCTAGAACATGGAGGTTGACTGACATAAAATCATGATGCTTAGTCTCAGATCCTTCCCTCTAATAATATTCCGAACCTAAGGGATGATTCATTCAACTGAAACGTGAATTTGAGCTAATCTATACACAGACCTCTGCAACCCTTTTTCATATCATCATAAACCAGTGAGAACAAATTTTTGAAATGTGCAAAAAGCTCTGAAATTGAGGTACATACACATAATGTCCCTTAGTTCATTCTGCTCAGCTCCCATCTCTGCAGTTACAATTCTGCAGACCAGGCTCTGAAATGCCAGCAGGATCAGTTCTCACCTTGCTCAGGGAAGCTTTGATTTTCTTCAGACACAAAGCCAGCAGCTCTCTCGATTCCAGGGCACACTGGATCCAGGTTCCTGGGGGCTGGAGGTACCTGGGATGCAGGGAGCATTTTATCTTAAATCACTCCAAGGATGTGAGCAGCTATTTCCAAAGCTTTCAGTTCAGTAACACCAAGCAGCTACAACTTTTATAATCATAGAAAATCACGGCAAAGTGGCTAAGGTGACTGAGTTCATACCCCCAGCACTGCCAAAACCACCAACAAACCACGTCCCCAAATGCCACATCCATAGGGCTTATAAATCCCTCCAGGGATGGGGATTTCACCGGGGCCCTGGGCAGCTGTGCCAGGCTGGACATCCCCTTCCATGAAGGATTTTTCCCAAAATCCAAACGAACCCTTCCTTGGCTGTCCCCTGCTGTCAGGATGTTCTGCCAGGCTGGACATCCCCTTCCATGAAAGATTTTTCCCAAAACCCAAACTACCCCTTCCTTGGCTGTCAGGGAGTTGTGCAGAGCCAGGTTCCCCCTGAGCCGCCTTTTCTCCAGGCTGAGCCCCCCCAGCTCCTTCACATCAAACCTGTGCGCTTTTACCTCCCTAAACCATGAGAATGATATATTCTAAGTGCATTCTAAGTGCATTTTGCTGCCCTCCCCAGCGATCTCGCGGCTGCTCACCTCTCGCACTGCTTGCAGAAATGCACCGTGCCCTGCTTGGGGATGCCCTCGGTGATGTCCACCTGGGCCCGCAGGCAGCCCACGCACATGTTGGCCGGGTTGGGCGGGATGGGGACACCGCACTGGCAGCACAGGCTGGGACACGGGGACAGAGAGAAGCACAGTTAGTCATGGTCACGGTCACGGTCATGGCCACCGGGCACCCCGTTCCCCCGCCACCGCTCACATGTGTCCCTGCGCCGGGGCCGCGGGGGCCGGCAGATACTCCATGGCTGCGGAACACGCGGCACTTTCCGGCCGGCACAGGAAGGGGAGGAGACGGCGGGGCCGAGCCCAGCCAGCCCCGGGGAGGGTGGAGCGAGGGGGGCACGGAGAGAGAGGCGGGAACCGTGAGGGAACGCGGAAAGGACCGTGAGGGAGCCATGGAGAGGCAGGCGGGAACCGTGAGAGGGCTGTGGAGGAGCCCTGAGGGAACCCGGAAAGGACCGTGAGGGGCCATGGAGAGGTGGGGGAAGCGGTGAGGGAGCCGTGAGGAGATAATGGCGGAGCTGTGAGGGAACGTGGGAAGGGCTTTTACGGGGCCATGTAGAGGCGGGCGGGAGCTCTGTGGGAGCCGTGAGGGGGCCGTGATGGAGCCGACATGGAGAAGCGGGAGGGAACCGTGAGGGAGCCATGGAGGAGCCCTGAGGGAGCCGGGAAAGGGCTGTGAGGGAGCCCTGAGGGAGCCATGGAGGAGCCCTGAGGAAGCCCCGAAAGGGAGTGACGGAGCCATGGAGCGGGAGGGAACCGTGAGGGACATACGCTGTTACAATTTATTAATTAAGAATTAAATGATATTTTTATTTACAAGGACCACTCGCACAGTCCGTTCACTTTGTATTCCATTTGTGATGTACCATAAACACCCTATGGAGAGAAGGAACCGCTGTGGCAGGGGGTTAGAATTAAATGACCTTTAGGGTCGTTTCCAACCCAAAGCATTCTGTCATTTGATGATTCTGTGACACTGAGGTTTGTTTGTGGATCAGTATTTGTTTCCTGCAGGTTATGCTGGAGAAAAATAAAGCTGAATTGCATCAACACGTTGTGTGGGATTTATTTAATGTGGTAACATCCTGATGGAAACGAAGAGTTCTTTCACTTGAGGACTGAAAATCACAGCCTGTCAAGCTGTCTGCCATGTTTTTAATTCTTTGGCACATTTTTCTTTGGTGCGATGCTTGTGTTCACACACTTACTCACTTCTGCTCCTTTGAAATTAAGTTTCTTTGCAGACCTCTCTGGAGACTCTCCACCATACTGTTAAAACAATGAAAGGAAAAAGCATAATAGAAAAAAATAAATATTTCCCTGCTCTGGAGTTTTGTTTCAGAACCTCTGCTGCACAGTGGGTGTTACACAGTTTTTACTTTGAAGCCCTGATGAATCACTCAGTATTTGATTTAGGAAATAAAACACTTCCAGGCTGGCATTTGGAGAGTGGCGTTGGGAGAGGGGTGGGACAAAGTGTGTCCTTTATGGAAGTCACATCTTTGAAGCCTATGGGAGGAGAACTGGATCCTGATAATGCTGGAAAAGTTTCCATTGCAGATTTATTTTCTCCATTTAATTTTAGTGCTAATACGCCAAATCCCACTTCAGCTCAAGGCACAGCCTCAGTGAACATCAGAACTGGGTTCTTTGTAGTCATCGAGGTACTTTGTGCTGCCTGTGAGCTCTGGTTGTCCTCTGGCTTCAGTGGAAAATTTGTGTTTTAAACTGTGTTACATCCACTTCTGAAGGATTTTATATAGTTTTGCACAAAATGAGGTGAAAAGCAAAACAGCCTGAATCTCACCCCTAATGAAAGCCATATCAGTTTGTCCTGATTTCTTACGTGTTTTTCAGTGAGTATTAAATGTTATATTCATTTTATATGGATGTTTTCTGCCTCTACTGCCATATGCTTTCACAGCATTTAAAGGCTCTGTGCAATAGGCAAGGACAGCGAGCACACAATTTAAATACATGTTAAATGTATAAATATATTTAAATATATGTTAAATTTAAAAAATTCTCACTATTTAGAACAGGTTTCAATACACATTTGTTCTCAGACTTTTTCAAGGTGGCTGGGCCCTGAAGAAAGTCCTTGTAGGTGTTTTTGGGAAAGCTTAGGCCAGAAAACCTAGGAGACTTTGTGCCAGTGCCAGCAGCTCCCAGCAGCTTCATTTTCAGCAGGAATGTCCAATGGAATGGTGAATTCATGGGAATATCCCTGTGATTAATGGAACAGACACCTGAGGTCACTATTCCCTCACATTTGCTGGATCCAGGCAAGGAGGTGCCCCAGGAGCTCCTGGACCTCTCCTGCTCTTGCCAAGGAGGGATTGTTCTGGGCTGCTCTTTGCATTACCTGTGCTCATTTCAGTATAAAACTTCAGGAATTTAAGAACAGAACCAACAAGTGTTTTACACTTATTTTTTTCCTATTCACTCCCATATAAATTGGGGATTCAGAGCAGTGTGCACAGCACCTCCACGTCACAAACAATAAAAACATCCTCATTCAGCTGCAGGGTTTCAGTAACAGCATCCAGATGGAAGCATGGGAAGGGCTGTGCAGTAACAATAAAACACCTTCCTGGTCTTTACTGGTGCCCAGTTTAGTTTTGAGGGGGATCCTGGGGACACCCAGTCTGTATTTCTTTACCAATCTATTCTAGAATTCTTTACAAATGTGTTTCTTACAAGCCCTCACACATTCCCAACAATTTTGCTCCTCTTCCTATTGCAGGAAGCCACGATTTAGAGAAGTGGAGCAGCTTCCATTCTGACAACAGAGGATTCAGAGAGGGGAATTACCAACAGAGGAATTGTCAGGATTCAGAGAGGGGAATTACCAACAGAGGAATTGTCAGGATTCAGAGAGGGGAATTAATAACAGAGGAGTGCCCAGGATTCAGAGAGGGGAATTGACAAGAAGAGTCACCAGGATTCAGAGAGGAGAGTTGACAGAGGAGCCACCAGGATTCGGAGAGGGGAATTAAAGGCAGGGCTTTTTGCAGGAGCTGTTTCAGCTCCCAGTGCCACTGGGGACATCCTTGGGCAGGAGCAGATTGTGCCTGGCCTGTGTGTGTGTGGCAGGTCCCAGGTTTGTTCCAAGCCAGGATCCAGCTCCCAGTTTGTAATCAGACATCTCCAGGCTGTCTATTCCTTTGGAAAGCAGGGTTCTCCTTGCTTTTCATCATGGACTGCAGCTGGGAAGTTGCAGAGTGGTAATTTCAGCAAGGGCTGCTGCTTCAGTGTGTCCTCTGTGATCTAAACGGGAGGAATAATGTTCCCTGATTCCCCTGGGACACGGCACTTCCAGGGCTGGTCTATGAATTCACCTGCACTACATTTACTGGGATAATGCTCCAGTTATTTTCCAGTTCTTGCCTATTTCTTCAGTTCTTGTGAGGAATCCAATTAGCAATCCAATTTACAGTGTGAGCCATGAGTTTTATCACTGCTGAACTTCAAGGCAGGAACAAAAGGAGCCAGAAGAGCTCCTATAAAATAGCTTTGTGACAGGGCTGGGGATATTGTGACATTCCACTCCCAGCTGATGGAGGTGAAACTGGGTTGCATCACCGGCTTTAATGAGCGTGGTCACAGCACAAATACCCGTGGGTTGGCTTTCTTTTCATGTTGTGTGAAACCTGCACGTCAAACACGCTGGGTGCAGTTCAGGGGTACCTCTGGAAGTGCTGCCCCGTGTCAGAGAGGGGATAACTCCCAGCCCTGCTGAGGCAGCTGAGAATGGCTGGATGCTCACAGGCAGAGCTGCTGGGTGTGTGAAGTCAGGGGAACCAACAGCACCCTCTGCTTCCTAAATCCCTGGAACGGGGATTACAAAGAACATGGGGTTTTGCTTTGTAGCCTTTTTAAACCAAAATAACCCAAACTGTACTGAGCTGCTCAAACCAAAATAACCCACACTGTACTGAGCTGCTCAAACAAGGAGACGTCCCAGATTAATGAAAGTAGATTTAGATTAGATTTGAGAGAGAAATTGTTCCTTGTGAGGCCCTGGCACAGGTGCCCAGAGCAGCTGTGGCTGCCCCTGGATCCTGGCAGTGCCCAAGGCCAGGTTGGACATTGGGAGCAGCCTGGGACAGTGGGAGGTGTCCCTGCCCATGCAGGGGACAGGATGGGATGGGATTTCATTTCCATTCCAACCCAAACCATTCTGGGATTCTGTGAAATTGTGATAACTCAAACATCATGGCTTATCCTTATCCTTCCTTGATAACCTCAGCCAGCCACGGCCAAGGTTTCACTTTAAGGCAAAGCATGAACAGGAGCCAGGGGTTTTGCTTTAGTTGTGTTTGTTACCAGGCTGCACTAGGCATGAACCTCAGACTAAGAAATAATTGTTTTAAAAGGTAAATATTTGCTCATCAGAGCACAAGAGGAACCTGGGGATGATTGCACAGGAGCTGTTTGCTTTCCACTTGCCTTTGGTGATCTTCTGTGTGCCAGCTAAAACATCTCATCCCATTAAAGGAATCCTGGTGAGAGGTGGGGTGAGCTGAGAGCTGCTGGGAGAGGACAGGTGTGGACATCAGGAGAGCTTCAAGTGTGGACATCAGGAGAGGTTCAAGTTGGATATCAGGAAGAATTTCTTCACTGAAGGAGTGGTTAAGCATTGGAATGGACTGCCCAGGGTTGTGGTGGAGTCACATCCTGGAAGTGTTAAACCAGCTCATGGTTTAGTGGGTTAAAGGCTGGACTTGATGATCTTGGAGATCTTTTCCAACCTCAATGATTCTGTAATTCTATGATAGGAAAATGAGTGTATTTTTCACTGAGTTCTCTGATGAGAGAGCGTGAGAAGAACGATATGCAGGTGAAAATATTTTGCACATTATTCCTGCTCAAAAGCTGCACATAAAAATTATGGAGAGAGCTGACATTTCCGGGTTCACTTCCTGACTTTCCTTGCCTCACTCTGTCTGGCTGGAGACAAAACCAGGGAAAATGCCAAAAATACACTTCAGTGAATGAAGATTGCTTAAACAACCAGGAACGGAAAACATGGAAAAAAGGAGGAGGAGTGGGAGGAGGAGGAGGACGGGGACACTCTGTCCATGCAGGGCTCCACCAGAACACTGGGACATTTTAGCATTAAGCATCTTCCCAGTATCAACCTAAGATGTGCTGAAATAAATGAAATTTGCCAAATGAAATGACAATTAACTCCCTCTTGTTAACTATTCATTATTTCTTTCTGCTTGCTCCAGTCCTCTCTGATGGCATTTACATGTTACAATTATCCAGCGAGATAAACTCCCGGGGTGAGGGGGAG